GAGGAGGGCCAATGCACGTGTGTCACCACACAGGTAAACAATCGAGTGGGAGCAGCGCCATCCATACGGAAGATGAGAAGGCTTGCCTTTGCATATCTCGAGTCTCTTGACTGCCTAGCAGTGGTACAGTGGACAGGCCTCAGCTTCGGATGCGCGTCGAACAGCTGCTGAAGTGACTCACCTGCCTTGCGATCTGCTCCCAGACTCTCAGACTACATCTTGAGCAGACCTGGCACTATTTGTGTGTGCCGAGCCTCGACGGGCGCTGCATACTTCAGCACCCGCGTGCTGACTTCGAAGAGGAGCATGACCTGCCGCCGTGCCGGCCGAGCAGAAAGACTACACAAGCAAGTTTGTCGGTCGCAGACAAAAACATCTCCGACGGGCCTCCAGTACTACACTGCATAGGGTTTTGGTGCAGTTTCGTTGGGAGCCATCTTTGTGCAGATCAAGGCGACCATGTGACTGACATTGTGCGACATGGCGAAGACTCATGTCGCCATGAACGCCGCAAGCTTCCGTCCCAGAGCGTGGTCAGCTTTCGCTTCATTTGACGTAGATCGAGATAAAGAGGTTTGATGGCTCTCGACATCTGTCCTGGCTAGAGGATGTCGTTCCTCGGGAGACTCAGAGCCGTCTCCTCGTTTTGAGACTACTTGCCTCGCAAGTTCAGCTTCTACTTGCAGAGCTGTCACCCGAAGGACAGCCTCTGCCAGCTCATTTGCTCGGATGCAAAATGCCCTCCGCAACTCCTGGAACTGAGATAGTTTATGATAGTTTGTTGGCTAGAGCTGCTTGAGGGAAGAATGTGCTTGGCTCTCATGGACGTTAAAGGTCACAACACCCTTGTTACATATGGCTTATTGCTGCCGCCGCTGCTGCCGCTGCCAGACTCCAGCGACTCAATCAAGTCACCTAAGTGGTAGCTACAAGCACGAGCCTGCCGCCGCAGAGGTGGCGGAACCTCCAGCACTCCTTTCGCCTTGGCTGAAATGCTGTCTTGTTCTCGAAGCTTCCTGGGAACACCAGCATATCGGCTGCGAACGTCTTGAAGGCGCGGGCATTCAGAACAGTCCCACGCACAGGTGGTCGGCTGAAGGAAAGCGCCTGTCCAACCATGTCAAACACATGGCATGCACATGCTGTCAAAGGGCAGTTCAGCCTGCCAAGAACGTGCAACTAGAAGGAGCGAGACTGTCTCTTCTAGAACTCAAACCGCTGCCCATTTTGCACTCCTTTCAGTCTCCGGCTGTCTGTGCCCTCACCGGCAACAGCGCCCAAAGAATTGAAAACTTCCAGGACGCATGTCAGTGTCAGAACAAGCCTGCAAGAATCTGGACAAGAGAATTCAGACCGCTATTAGTTCCGTGGCCCAGTAGCGCATACTACCGCGGCAACTGAAGGACCTGCAACACCATCCAGCAGACTGTGTACAAGTACATATTTGTTATCGAAATCTTGGGCTTGGTGCTGCCATTCTTGAATCAGCCTGCTGAGACAATATTTGGTCAAACGTGCCCTACGCTGGCACTTCACTTTCAAAATGTGGATTCTATCCAGCGCCGCATTAGCGGATCGCACTCGACATGAACCCCTCGAGGGCAATGATTGGCGTTGGCTAAAAGAGATTCAGTTTTTTGCAGCATCAGAAGCGGCCTCAAGGCTATTTGCACCTAAGCCGCGCAAAGGCAAAAACATGTAGCAAGAACCAATCTGGTACAATTTTAAAATATGTAGACATGTAATGAGACACGATTCTGCCGTTCTGCCTCCTTCCGCAGATACTGCACGTTCGAAAGAGCTGAAACCGAGAGGTTCGATTCTGCTGCCAATGCTTTGGCTCAGACCTAAATTATTCTGCATTTGTGTCCATCAGCCACGACCTGGGTCGATAGCTTTTCGGCCAAGTGCTGCTTGGAGTTGGTAAAGGGGGCACAATAATTTTCGACGGTCCTGGCCCGACACGATGTGAAAAAAATACCAATTAAACTGGGTGTCGTGACTCATGACTCCGAGCGCTGCAAACTTAAAACGGTCTGCGGTTCAACTTCCTTTCGCAGAGGAGCACTTCACCCAAGCCTAAAGCTGACCTCCTCGGCTTCCACACGTCTCAACGGCGTGAAGCTGGAGGTTTGGCTGGCATGACTACTCTGGCCGTCAGGAGAGCCGGCATGGGAGCTGCCGGAGCAACCCAGCGCACTGGACAAGACCAAGCATGTCCTTGGAAGCAGTAGCAATCGGAGAATCGTCATCTTGCAGCCAACCGCATCCTGGCGGCGCATTCTCGGCGAGCGAAAACAGAAGGGCAACAAGATGGCTCAACGAACTGCGTGCAAGCCAGACACTAACCATCGTATGCCCAACCTGAACACATGAACGCGAACGGAGTTGTACCCAGTCCTGCCTCCATCTCACATGCAATCAAGGCGCACTTGTACAGAGTGCCCGCGCTCGGACCATTTTTCTTGCTCTTCTTTTTCTTCGGTCCCTGTGCTTGCGCAAAAGCTAGCACTGGCTCAGAGTCACCGGCTGCACGAAATCGCCACGTTAGGATCAGTTGCCTTTTTTCCTTTTCCTGTGGAGGGAGGCGGCACGGCAGCCAGGTCCCTCACGTTGTCATGGCACATGATTACCTTGGCTTCGAGAAGAGCCCTCAGTATAAGGCGCGCGGCCTGAGGAGAGTTCTGCGCCAAGCAGCTGAGAAGTCGGTCTGCGCACTGCTTCGTACTTCCGCGTTCACGATTTTGCAACCACGGCTCCGGGCAAAGACGGTCCTTGCTTGAGACTATCGCCATAACTTGAAGCAGAGTGTGCAAAATCTATCTTTGACACGACAGGTGTCAGAAGCTGCGTCCAAGCGTCAAGCATCGCAAGAACATCGGATCGTGGATGTCGCACTCTTTGCGCTCTTGGAAGTGCAGCTTCACCTTAGAAAGCATCGCATTCGCTTCCGAACTTCGCTCTGAGGCACGAGGAACACAGTTTCTATCGAGGCAAGTTTGGTGCTTGCCAAGGGCCTTGGGCTGGCAAGTCGGCGTTAACGTCTTCCCCAAGAGTTCCTAGGTCACGAAGTGCACCAGTGCGCCGGGGCCACGCCAGCGAGAGCAGTTGAAGGGCTTCTAAGAGCGCGGCTTTCCAGGCCGGCATCTCTCCGTCTCCAGCGACGGCGTGGCCAACACACGCTGCTGCTCGATTGCGCCAAGGCGAGCCACAACAACTCAGTATCGTGCGTTGCTCTCCAAGTGTCTACAATGTTCCACACCTTGCTATCGTTCTTTTCTGAGCCGGCACTCGATAAAGCTGAACTTTCTCTCCGAAACTTATGCCTGGACAGAGGAGCTGCAGGCTCTTTGCCGGTCGACCCGGCCTCAAAGCAAGCTTGCACTTCTGCTGCCATATCGGGTGCCCGAAGCCGCACAAATGCAAGAGCCTGAAAGAAAGGGCGTCGTATTTAAATTGTGGATTAACGCCGGGCAATGCTGGGCCAAGCACCAACTGTCGCCGATAAGGGGTTGCATATTCAGGACCTGCACGAGGTGTTGTGCAACCTCTTGCGTCCTGCACCTCGGAACACACTGTCTCAGGCACCGGTGCGCGAGTTGCAGATCTGCATGGCCTGGAACACATTCCACACGTCAACATGACGCAGGCAGTAAGCGCTTTGATGGACTGAGCATGGCCAAAAAGCTGGCCCCGTTAGGGCATGTTTGCAAAACCAGGCTTCCGGTGCACAGACTCGGTTCGCAGGCCTCCCAAACCTGGACGTGTCGACCAAGGCTGTCGAGTGAGATGCCGCATGCATCGGCCACATCTCAGCTTGCGTCAAGAAGCATGGAATTGAGCGTGAAAAAGAACTTCTCGTGAGACAATTCTCGCAAACACGAAGGAAAAGAGTGGGCATCTCCCATCCACGGATGTCCGAGCTTGGGCAGCAACGTATGTCCAAGGCATTCAATGACGGTGCTTCCGCCGCCATCGCCTGGGCTGCCATTGGCCACTCGCTGATCCAGACGCTCTTACGATGTCTGTCTTTCCGGCAGAAGATGTCGAAGATGCTTCTCCCGGCGGCTCTCGGTTATGCAGCATGGTCTTCGTGCTTCTGCGCACTTTGAGACTTCATTGACATGCTGCTTCAACCTTGGTATAGCCCACTTCTTGGTCGCCCCTATGGATGGATCCTCCGACTGACATGTCGTGTGGTGCGTCTGTCAGACGTGGGCTCTGAAGCCTTGCATTTTTAGCTGCACGATGCTCTGTCCTTCCGCTTTGACTAAGGTCCCTGCGATAGAAGCATTAAGCGGGCTGAGACCCGCTTCGCGCATGGCGTTGCTCACCTCGGAAAACAAGGATCGATCCATGGATCCATGGATGTCCGGCGGTGCGAAGGTTCGCTATCCTGATGGGCAACAAAGAACACGCCACGAGGCTGAAACGCACATGCCATCGCAGGCGGTGGTGAACTCAGCCACAGGATCTCCGTCGGCCTTAGCAGCAGAGGCAAAGAAGCGGCCTGGGAACCTCAATGCAGCATGCATGTTTTAGCCGCAAACCTCGAACTGCGCAGCCGCCTCAGATGTGCCAATGCACAAACAATCCAGGGGTCGGATAGTTTCATGACGCGGCAAGGACTCAAGAGGATGGGCAAGTGGCGATCGCCGCAACCATGAGCTCCCCGAGAAGCTCAACTCCGTCATGCTTCTGCCCCTGTGTCGAAACACTGCTGATTTGTGGCAGTTCACACGATCTGTTCGTTACGTCTCTGATTGACATGGGTTTTCTCGCCGGGACTCTACGATAAGGAAAGCAGGCCTGCGAGTCCCATACGTTCTATTGGCGCACATGACTCTCCCAGTGCTATGTGCACTCTTGCATAGTTTCGTTCGGATTGAACACCTCTGAACACACCCAAGCATTCACTCTTGACCGCAACTTACCACTACCACTGCAGCGAATTCCCGAAAGGTAAGAAAGCCTTCAGCGTCCGTACCTCCATTGTCAGGGAACGACAGTTCTGCTTGCGCAGATCCATGGAGCAGTCGAGACTATCCAACCCTGGTGACAAACTTCGGGGGAGACCATATTGCCTTGTGCACTCACTCAGCATCATGCTACACACTGCTGCTTTAACTTAGACTTATACACTCAGTAGTGGAAAGAACCCATCTACCAGGCCGCCTCGCACGGTTGAACTGCATCAGCGAGCGTGCGAAAGCAGTCTCGATCGAAAGCGTGAACCTACAGAGATCGCGTTCAATTGACTGGCTGATTCTGTGCATGCCAACGCACAGCCGGCAAAAACTAATCGCCGTTGTCAGTCTTTCCGAGGCATCTTCACTGGCAGCAAAACAGTCTCTCGCTTCCGTCTCCGCCTGCCTGCGAAAGCATCCGAGGCTTTGCTTTGTCGTCCTGCTCATGCCATCACCCATGTGCTGTGCTCACTCGACTTCGCAACAAGGGACACATCGAAAGCTCGTGCGGAATTTGTTGAACAGCCCCTTGATCCCACCGGCGCCTGTCCACCCAGAAGGGCGGAGGCCAGACGCGAGCAGCCCTGCAGTCTCTCAAATGCTTTCCCAGATTCGCTCAAAATTTTGAGTCTTCTGGTCCCTTTGTACGATTCCGGAGCTACATGGTCTGAGCAGTGACACACTTGAGCGGCCTCGCCAGGTCCGAAGGTATAGCTGAAGGCCAGCTCGAAGAATTCGAAGCAGGCTTTGAAACCATACCCTGCAGGACCGGTTGCTGCCCCAAGCCAGACTCTGTCGTCCACACGCCACGCACCTCCAATCTTCTGATACTCGGTGAACTTTCGGCTTCCAGCCTCAATTGCTAGGAACTACCTCCGCGATCTTGCAATCAATTTCGTATCTCCCCGTTGGAACCTATGGGCCTGTGGGCCACTGTCACTTTGCCTTGCCATCCGTGGCCCGAAGTGAGAGTGGTTATTCGAGGCGCTCGTTTGTGGTCACACCCCGTCTTGACAACACACACGAAACGAATATGTGGTCCAAGGACTCTGGCAAAGATACAAGACTGCAGGGATGGTTGTATGCGTTCGTGCTAAGGCTCTCGCCACCTTCGTTCTCAATGGCCTTGGCAACAGGAAACTGAGAGATCGTGTGCGCTGCGCATGGTGTTTACCAGACATCACAAAGCATCAAAGCAGAACCCGTGACAAGCAACTGACATACACCAGCAGAAACCTGTTGCCTGCAACTGGGCCAGTACTGCAACGAAACCTGTGGCTTCCAAAGGTGGCTGAAGCCGATGTCTACTCTACTCGAACTCATGCGACAACAGGAGAAACCTACAACACTATACAAGACCTCTACCAGAAGCAGGTCTAAATGCGAAGCTTGAACAGTGCATGATAGGAATGCACGAGTGACCACTTCCCGGCGTTGAACAATCATGTCTGCATCAGGAACTGGCAAGCGCTCTCAATTGCGCGTCTTTTTCCAAGCTTCCTAAATTTCATTCATCTTGTCCAGCAGTCGGCCATACGCCGAAGCCGTGCAGGAACTGGTAAGCCTCTGTGGTCATGCCCCGAACTGAAGGCATCGTGTTGCATGCTGCGTCTGACGAGGCTCAAGCCCGGATATCTTGCAGTCTCAAGTTGTCAGAAGGCCTGAACGCCATACCATTCTTGTTGCACTCAAGTGGCCAGGAATTCAACAACGCTCAGGCAAATGTGCCAGAAATTAGTCCGAAGGGTCATTGCATTGTCTTTGTCTTTGCCCGTATCTTGCCCCTGCTGCTTCAACGTCAGAGGACAGAACACCCCATTCAGACGAACTCCTGTGATCAAGGTGTTGACCGTCCACAGCTCAGAAAAGGATGACAGCCTGCCTTACCCATCTTGCAGTGTCCACGAGGGCTGTGGGGTGGCGAGACCTGGCAAGACGACGACATCGCTTGATTGTCAGGACTGCACATATCCTCCTCGAAGCCCATGTCTGCAAGCCGTCGCACAACATGTCCGTCCACGGACGGGACGTCCATTTCATCGCATGGGGAGAGGACCACTTGACGAAGCCGATCACTTCGGTGCACAAGCTTGCGCTTCCGATTGCTTTGCTGCAGCGGTTCCCCTAGAATGTTTCCGATTCCTTAAGGGAAAGGGAAAACTGGTGCACGGAGTAGTTCAGGAAAATCTTGCTGCTGCTTTTGCATTGGAAACGTCATCCGTGCCAGCGAACAGGCGTCACGGCAAACCGTGCCAGCCGCGACGGTGTCCTCGCCGTGCTTGTGAAGCCTGTTGTGTCCTCAACTTGTCCTGAAAGTCACCAGTGGTTCGTCCAGTTACCCTGGGCCTTGCACCTGGGACCTTTCGGTAGGTCACTTTGTGGGTCGCTGCGAAACTGGTAAGGTAGGAAGCATCCCGAACTGCATGTCACTGCATGTGACGCGGATCCCATCCCGTCCCTACCATTGCCACCCTCCGGCATCTCTCTGAATGACTTCTACGCCAGCGCGTTGCATCTGCACGATGGCCAAGTCTACTGCCGACTTGCCTTGACAGAACTCGCGGCCGTATATTCTCACCAATACCGGATCACGATCCGCTGTCTTCTCAAAATTATCACTCCGTGCTCCACATAAGTTCAAGTCCACAACAACACGGATCTTCCCAGCAAGACCTTGCTCTGCGAGCTGGCTGGCAATTTCGGTGGAACTGACACGGACACAAGACGTCGTGGTGCAGCCTCCAATGACCAAAACGTTGACACCACACCTGATGGAGAGTGCTTCGCTCACTAGTAATCTACAACGTTCTGGGGTTCATACTCGCCGTTGGGGAGTAAAAGCATTTCCAGATCTAGACTCTACAATCCGTTCTCGATTGAAAAGCGGACCGCCCAGACCCACCCTTCCCCTCCAGTGCGCACACTGCTATGAAGCTGCATCCAAGACTTTGTTGCTGCTTTCGTAGCATTACTTCCGATCATCTTCTATGCTACGGTGATAGCACCATCCAGGAAATCTTTGGGACAAGAGACTTGTACCACTTCGGGCTCGAAAGGCTGTATGCTGTTGTGAGCGAGGTGGGAAGGGAGCAATTGTCGGCTCTGGCCTGGTTCAAGCTGGCGCCTGCAAGCGGTCGTGATGATGTGGTGACTAACCACTTGACAAAAGCATTTGATAAATCATGACTTAAAAGGCTGGAAAAACTTCGTTCGAGAACTGGCCCACAAAAGGAGCGCCCTTCGGTCTGTCACACCGCATCTGCGCTACTGGTTTCCTAAGGCTGGGGCTGTACAACAGCAGCTGAAACAGACTAAAGCGGGCTTGTGCACGCTGTCAACTGAGCACACTTTCACAAAAGCTGATTCCCGCCGTTTCCACCGTTCTGTGATTCCCGTTCGTTAGCGACTCTTCCAGGAATACACACTGAAACAGTCGAGACAACCCTGGCCGATTGAAAAGCGATTGAAAAGTCTAGCGGTCTAGCGACATCGCAGTCGAAAGGCCGTTAGGTCTGCGTGGTACATGAGAGGAGGAGACAAGGTTCCCGTCTCTGTCATTGCTCCACCAGCATGCTACAATTACGGGCACACTTTGACATCAGACTCCTGCAATCTTCAATCAAGCGACCTTACTTGCTGCTGCAGCCACCGGAAGAAGGCTGGGTTGTAGGTGACATCCATGGTCGGCTTGTGAATACAAGGAACCTTCCTCAGAAAAGGCTCCACCACGTCAACGTAGGGCTCGTCGCGTGGCATACTGTCATAGCACTTGGTACAAAGTATCGGAGTGTCAGGGGGCACTTTGCCGGACTCCAACAGCCGTGCTGTCTCGACACAGGCTCTCTCTATGTCGGCGATCTGCGTCTTACCACCAAAGTGTGACGCCCAGCTGCCCACGGTGAAGGCCTCGCACCGCTGAAAGCTTTCGGGCGGCTGCCACCAACGTCATGAAAAGGATTCCTGCCTTCTGCAGATCAATGAGCAGTAGCGCAGCTTTGGGCGTGGGCACCGGCGCTTCCTCGCAGAGGGCATGTGACTCATGTGGCGTATGCTTATTGCGACGTGCCCAGCGCTTCGAAACGTCCGCAAAGACCGAACCCGGCCTCGGCTGCCATGCTTTGGCGCGTCCGTGCAAGTATCGGATGCAGCCCGCAGGTCCCGCTGGAGCCAAAGCCAGGACCTCGGCGAAAAGCGCCAGGAAAGGCTGCTTTCATGCTTTGTCTCATGCTCTCAGATCCGAGGTGCTGAGGATGCCCAGGGCTAGGATGCAGGCTCTGCGGCACAAACTGCGGTAAATGCGGTAGTCTCCTGAAAGAAACATGTGAAGAACCGCGCCCGAGCCAAAAAGCTGCTCGTTCGCCGTTCAAGCGCATGCTTGCCATGTCGAACAAGTGGCCGTGTGTGCGTGTGCTTGTGGCCAGCAGCCAAATCTGCAGGAGCTGACCCTTGAAAACCTGACAAGGTGTGTGAGCTCCATGCTCAAGCGCGAAGGGTGCCGCCTGCATACGATTCAGTGAAAGTCGGATGCTTGAGACGGAACCTTCCGTGGAAAGGCTGAGCCTTCCAGAACGCCGGATGCCTGAGAAAATGGGTTCTACGAACCATCCAGCCGCTTGTCACAAATGCCCTGAGGCTGCAGCAACTTAAATTTGAACTTCGCAGCGAAGCGCAAAGCCCGGCAAATTCGCAAAGGGTCATCTATCAGAACCTGGCATGTACGCACTCCGCATTTGTTGCACCCGCCAGCTCACCTCGCACCTTGCTCCACCACAAGACCTGTACCTCGGCGCACGAGGGAAGTCTGAAGTGGACTATGGCACTGTTCTCCCGTGCGCATGCCCATGCCCATGCGCTGTTTTATGAGGGAGTGCAAAGCCCACGGCAGCTTCGTCAGGTGGCAAGTCGTGAATCCCCAAACTCTTGGCCTCGGACGGATGGAGCTCGCGTCGGCCCGTTCGCATCACCCCCCGTAAGTCCAGTGCCATGTGAAAGGTCAGTTTTTTTTCGTCTTCTCTGGGCAAGGTCTAAGCGGCACCCGCGCTCCCTTTGCACGAGTGTTCCACTACCACCCTCGCAGGCTCACAGCAGCCAGCCGTCGGCAACGTCGCTCTGCTGGATCGGGCACTGGGGCACCACCAGAGGTCAGGCTCCTCTGGTGCCCATATTCCACAAAGGGTAAGCAGGCAGTGGTCGAGAGAGGTGCTTTCGTCAAGCCACACCACAGTGACCCATTCAAGTCTGACTCAGAACGCGAAGATAGATGACATCGCCCAAGGCTTTTGCAATGCCGAGTGCGAAAAAGATACCGACGGCACCTGCGGGGCAATCTTTCACTCAGACCAGGGGCTTCAGCTTGCAAGCATGTCAGAGTCGAATGCCAACCCTCAAGGTCACAGGATACTACAAGGCGAAGCAAAAACATACCACTGAATTCAAGAAAATGAATACGGCTTCTGCCTGCAGTCAGCCGTGCAACTTGCCCATTCTGGACAAGTACATCAATCACGTCAGCAGCTACGCACACAGCCGAGATGTTGTTCTCCAAGTTCCTCATGGCCAAGGAAGGTGGGCTGAAAAGATGGCGTCATTGCATCATGCATGCTGCACCATCGGCGATCATCAGAACAACAAGATGGGCGCCTGCCTGGGGTCGATCGTAAGCACACCCGGGTTCTTCTGGATAACTTGCGCTGCCCTGGCACGTTTGCATACTTGGCAGGAGAAGCTTCTGGAAGAAGAGAAGAACTGCCCAAGCCAGCAGGGTACTCCTGATGAAACGGGCTCACCAGCCGTGTAGTGTCCATTAATGGATGTAGTACAGAACTGAGACAGAGAATAAAGACAGAGAATGGACTTGATATGCAGCGGCTCAAGCAGCTTCGATTCCACAATTCGCAGAGGTTGGGATGCACTCCATGTGCAGAGCACAAGTTTGGGAGAAAGTTGCACTCGCGACTGTTTTGACCGTCTCCGGCACCCCTCTGTTCTGCAAACATGAGCGCGGCCTCTCTTTGCCCAACAGTCTCTGCAGGACTTCTCCGGCTCGTTGAATCTGACCCTCCAGCACTGCTCACTGCTCACGGTACGCCCCAGTAGCAGCAAACACCATGGTTTGCCTCACCGAAGTAAAGGATTGCTATGTTGCGGCGCATCGCAGCCAAAGCGGGCTCTTCACCTTCAATAAGCGGCTTCATGCTTCATTCGCTCCAAAAGCTGTGGCATTGAGACTACTGGGCTACTCTATGAGTCTATGAGTCGTGTTCCTGCCTCCCGTAGCCGCCGTTAAAGCACGGAAACGACGCCGAAGGGCTATGTCGGTTTGTGGACCAACATCAATGCTGCGCCACTTCGGCAATATCTCACCAGGGCAAAGCAGCAGAGCTCAAACACAAGCACACTGTCTGAATCCGGCTGCATCAAAGGGCTCAACGCCACAGCTCAAAGTCTAGGACAGGCACTTCTGACAAAACGTCTCGTGCTCGGAGTTCCCCATCCGACCACGGCAGCAATTCCGAGAGCCATTGCCCTGACAAGCTTTCGGGGCCGTCAGAAAGCGGTGCTGTGAGACTTCCGGCGGCCTACGTCGAAGGTTTCCTCCTTCCTCGTCACCAGGGCATAGTCCTGCACCATCGATCACGGACAGGGCACATGTCGCAGGGGAGCCAATCACAGTTCCAGCTTCAGTCCTGTGCAAAGTAGTTGTACACAATCTCCTGATACAAAACCGTGCGCTTCCGCCTGTGCTCCCACGTGCACTTTGCGAAGCCACTCCTGCTTGTCACTGCTTCGTCTTGCCACAGGGCGGGAAGATCTGGATCTCACCGGATGCCAAGCGCAGAAGCAGAAGGCCTCACTCGCAGCACAGCCAGGCATGAACAAATCTTTCAAGGTCATCCACAATGGAGTCCAAGGACCACACGCAACCGAAAAGCAGCAGGAGTATGGAAGTTCTCGCTTTGGCAAAAGCTGCCATGGCAAGAAAGCAATTGGATTTGTCAGTATGAGCTTGCAAACGTTGATGCCATAGCATGTTTTTGCAGCTGTCGATGTTGCACATCTGATGCGTCAGAAGATTCTAAACCCGGTAGCTGGTAAACAAGCTGGGCATGGCCTGTGCCGGCTATGCACCCTTTTGTTCCCACACAAAGAAGCTGTCAAGCCAGCAATGTCAGCTGTTTAGATGTTCGTTAGGCGGCCAGGTGTTACAGCAAACTCATCTTTACTCGTGCCGAACCAGTGAACCCGGTTGCATGCACATGCACAAATGGACAAGAGCAGGACTGCATCTGCTGGCATCCTGGGGCTGCCACGAGCTCCTTCTCTTCCGGGGTTCTCGGCACATTTTATGGGCAAAAAGGGGCGGCGTGCAGCTGCTTTCAGATCTGAGCTTGCTGACCTCAGCACCGCCTCCTCTACCTCGGCGGGCTTCCTGTCAACTGGGCCTCGATGTCAGCGGCCGCAGCGTCTCAGGAGACAAGTCCGCCCGTGACCGGGGTTGCGGCATGGAGATCTCAGGACTCCGCGCTCGATGTCGGTGACCTGTCACTTCAAAATTCTGCAAAAGCATCGGACAGGCGGAGAGGAGTCAGACGGCAGCATACCGGTGAGATCAGGGTGAGATCCTGGCTCCACCATAAAAGTCAAAGAGCTCATAGCGCAGAGCCTGTCTGACAAAAGCAAACTAGATCCTGCCATGCTCTGCTACGCAATCTGAGCGAAATCAAGACCACAAGTATTTGGAGCCGAACCGTGCTGCTTTCAGAAGAGCGCACACCTGAAAGCACTTGACCATTTGATGCATGCAGGCATGACGATCCATGAGGTCGCTGGGAGCTAGGCGCATTAGCAACGCACCGATGGTGAGGTCACGACGCCTAGGTGGCAACCCTTGGATTTTCATGCACATGCCTTAGCCGGACAAAGTCACGCTCCCTCATGAAGACCTTTGCTTGAACTGCGAAGGTAGCCCCGAAAGCATGCCCGGAGGGGTTTGGCGAGAGCAAGTGAAGGTCCAGGTCGGAGTCTCTCGCAGATTCACCGGACCTTTTATCTGCCGAGGCATTTGCAGCGCATCTTCCTCGGGGAGGCCACGCTGATCACGGACCGGCACCCTGCACAAAGTCGGTTGACAACGGACCATAGAGCTCCTTGTGGCTAGCCGTGAAACTCTTGTGCTCGTGCGCCTGTTGTCATCTGAATAGGTTTCCTCCCCGATCGTAGGCATCACGTCCACCTGCCAACCGTGCACGGAACTTGCGATGCTTGACCTCCCAATCCTTTGCCCTCTGGCTGTCCTCGGTCTTGACCCCTGCAGTGTTCGTGAAGTGAGCCTGTACCGGATTGTTCTCACTGGGAAAGGGAACACGAGACCCAAGCCTTGAAGGTGTCCAGCTGCTTATCCTTGGACTCATTGGACAGAATGGTCGCCTGAGTATGCTTGTGGCCCCTGACTTTTGAAGCTGCCTTCTCAGCGGCGGCTGTGCAAGCCAAGCCGTTTACGTTCTTGAACTCCGTGAGGCCAAACTCCGGCCTCTCGCAACATCCGCGACCTAGACTGTCTTTAAGCGTGGGTGAGAGCACCTCTGCTCAACGTACGGCTTCATTTCATCCAGGAGTGCTGCCACCGTTACCTGCCATGTTATCGTAAGGCTCTCAAAGAGGCGAGCAAGCCAGGCGGCCAGTCGCACCTCGGGCGCGCAGTCCCGGAGGCAAAGGGTCAGATCGAGATCATCAGGCTCCTTGCCAAGCAGCAGGTCCCTGACCTCAGAAATCTCTCGACAACTCTTATCTTCCTAGAGCCCCTAATTGGGGCCATAGCATACCCTCCGTTGATGAAGACGGGAACATCCGACAGACCTTCAGAACGTGCTGTTGACACACCGCAGGACACTGCATGCAGGCGGCACTGGCGGACCTTGATCCGCAAGAAAGCAGAGGAAAAATCTCAGGATCTCTGCATCCGTCTTCGGGATCCTGCAACGTTCGATGCCGAAAGAGACCATGATTCGACCCAAGGCCATGGTGCAAGGACCTGCAAGTGTACCTGCAGGCATCAGGAAAGCAGCAGATTCCGAAAGCTCGCTGCTGGGGGGGGCACTCTTCGGAGAGCTCTTCCCCGTGTCGGACCCTGAGTCGTTCGCTCGCAACTGCAGCCTGCCGAGCTCAGCAAGTCCGGGCCGAATGTCCGTCTGCTTAGACTCTGCTTTCAGCCGGCCATGGCTGCCAGGCAAAGACGCTGTGCTCGACCAGGGAGACCTCGGGAGAACGATGGAATTTTTGCAAACACTACGAAAGTTACCAAAGGCCTTGACTGGGAGTCTTTCGTGCTCTCAGGGGAGCAACACGCCTGACGGGGACACACTGAAACATCAGAGTGTTGGGCCCCTACAAAATTGACAAATGCTGCCACACACCTGAGATCTAAGGTCGAGCCTGGTGGTGACCGTGCGCGGGAGTGCTATGCCTCGGGTAATTTCTGCTTTGAGTTGCCATCCCGAGGCAACGAACTGCGGCCACCAGGAGCACGGCGAGTGGGGTGAGGCTTCGGATTGGGCCACGGAGCCTGAGATCATCGTGAAACACAATCTGCTCCAGAAAAAAGCCGCCACTCCGATGGCTGCAGTTTGGAACGGCAAGAAGCCAGAAAGCCACGGCGCGCGAAGTGGGCCGAGAGTTCCAGCATGTGCTTTGGGATGCTACATGCCGGCCTTGAGGGGTGTCGACTTCAGGCGTCCCTGGACTTCAGGCTTTAAAGTAAGCTCTCTCTCAACTTCATGGAAGACACATCTGCTAGACTGCTTGGCATAGGTCTCAGTAGCATGGAAAGACAGTGAGGCTGCCGTTGCACACTTTACGCAAACGACCCTTGCCGCACAAAGCAAGGTGGGTAGGAAAACTGGGATGCATCCTGTTTGCATGCTGAGTGAAGCCTCTAAAACAGCTCATGGCCAGACACTCAAATCATCCTGCATCTTACCTACTACTTCATGCACAGGTGTTGCATGCCCGTTCGTTTTGTGGCTTTATTGTCGGGCATGGCAAACACCACTGTGTGAATATGTCAAAGTCAGAGCACAGATTAAGCTTCGCAAGGAACACTGCGCAAGAACAGCGTTACCAGCAGAAAGCGGACGCTAACACTAGCAATCTTACATTTCATCCCCAATGCTAAAAATCCGAAACACTGCCTGTTGCATATGCGGCACCCGTCACCGGCCCGTACCAACAACATTCCTCGGGTCTCGCGAGCTCTTTTCGGGCTGGCTAAGAAGGATGGACTGGGATTCTTCATCGGAATCCTCACGCCGCCCACACCTAGAGGGGCTCAGCCCCGCCTCTGAAACCTTATCAATCGCATCACCGATAGGTCGCTTCACTTGCTCATCGAACTGGTACAGAATATCAGACAACAGGCTTTGGTCTTTGTGGCCCTTGCGTGCGTGCCAGCGAGCCAGTTGCTGTGTGGTAAGCACCTCAGTCTCCTCGAACAGCTCGATAAAAGTCTGCTTTGGGATGGACGGCTCGGCCGAAGCATTCGAGCCAACGTCGTCTGATTCCTCGTCTTCTTCTTCGTCTTCTTTACGGGACTTCTTCACCAAAAATTCAGCCAGCTCCTGAACTGCGTCATCTGCAAGCTCCTGTTCTCGCTCATCGGCTTCATGCAAGGTCTTCTTCAGTCCTCTCACGATGTCGTCGACACGGAGCCCGTATCCCCTGTCCGTGGCGTCTGCGACTTTCTCAAAGGTCGACAGTGCGCTGCTGCGTCGCACCATCCAGGAAACGATCTCATGGCTCAGAGTGAATCTGCGTTTGAATGCGTTCCTATAGATATGTCGAGCGGGCCCAAAGTGCTCCGCAATGAATCTGCAGAGCCTGGTGGGGAATTGAAAAATCGCTACATACGAAACTAGAGCATAGATGAACGCACGTGGATCAAATCTTCTCACGAAGTCTCGCTCTCCCTGGAAAATGAATGCAAAGCCGGATGTTGAATACTCCTTTCGCACAAGAGAACCATCGTCCTCCTGCGACCGCTCCTGCTGAGAATAAGACAGCGTTCGGAAATAGCGGATCGTGATTTGCACCTCAAAACAATGGTACTCGCGCTTCTTCTCATCATAGACTATCAGGCCGAGCCAGCACTGTACCCATGTCTTGACGAAATCCATGACATCTCCGTTGAACTCTTGGATTGAAGGATTCCGAGGCACAGTGCGCGCACTAATGGAAAACTTGCCACCGCGGCTTCGTGGGGAGCAAATGTTGGGGTCGTGCTGTTTGGGTTCGTCAACAAGCTTAAAGGCAGGCCATGTTGGCCCATCAACAGGGATGTCTGCGAAACCTTTGCCATTCAAGAACACGGAATACGGGCTGCCTCCCATTCCTTCATAGTACTGGGTGCGTGTATCCGCGATGTTTCGTTTCAACCGCTCATAATCTGTGGAGTCTTCTAAAGCCAACGATTCCTCAACTTGCTGCAGATTGTCGGTCTTGCCCTCCTGCAAGTCGCGCACCAACTGCCTGAACTTGCTCCTGTGCCTCCCGGGTAGGCTGCTCTCAAAGCCAGCAATCTCTTCCCGCAACTTCCAGAACTTTTGCGAAAACTTCGCGAAGCTGTCGTAGCGATGATCAGCAACCGATTCCATCAACCTTGGAACACTCAAGTGCATGGTGCCCCACCTTCCCACGTGGATAAAGGAATGATCCACATGTACCGCGGCATTGGCATTGTGAAGTACCGCACGGCAGTGCATTGATCCAGCCAGATTCAGCGCTTTCTCGAAGTGCGTATCAGCCTTGTCAAACCGGCATAGTGGAGCATTGACATCCTTCCAATCTACTCTATCCAACCTTGGCAGCAGCTTGAAGCTCACAAAGCCATAATCCAAAATTCCTGGTATGAACTTACGCACGGATTCTCGAGTCGACGTGCAACCTGTCAAATTTTCACATCCTGCACCATATGTCTTCATGACGACTGTCGTGTTGGACCACACTGTTGGCAGAAAGATACCGTCCCCATCAGTTTCCCGGATTCGCGACACATAGTGGTCAGCATTCGAGACCCCCATGCAGCCTGCTACCTCCTGTTCTTCATGAGGCTCTTGACAACCGTAGTGCTTGGAGTTCTGACAGTAGTCGTAGTCACTTGGTGCTTTGCCTTTGAGCACCTTGGACATGCTATGGTCGTGGAGATTTGCATCATCTTCCTGGCCATGCATACCGGAGTCAGGTCAAAAAGAATACTATAAAGGCTATAACGGACAAAAACAGGCTGAATCCTGCGAGTCGCAGGCAATTCGTTGTCATAACCGAACTTGAAAATACCCGTGTGGGAGATGGAGTCGGCAGTCGGATTGCCGATCCATACCAGGGTAAAGCCGAAGACAAGAACCATGGCCCATGAACAGACTTCATGTAGCCGGTTGATCCTGGGGTCGTCGAGCTGCAACTCTGGCGCAACTTTAAGGTGCCATGGGCGTAGAGCGCAGAAGTCCCATGCGCCCATTTGCCAACAGTCCAGACTACTTCTGCCCTTGTCTGAGCCACTGTCCCGCGGCACCCACACACGAGGACATCCCTTCTGCCCTTCACTGGTCCCGTCAATTCGTTGATCCTCAAGCCGACTTGGCTCAAACATGTGCTTCAGAAGAATGAGAAATGCCTTTTGAATCCAGCCAGTATCGCCATGCAAACGAAGGATCAATGAAAACTGTTGCTCGGGCGGCTCACTGCTTCACCTCTTCTACCTGGTGCACGCATGGACAGTCTCGGGTCATAATGTGACGTCGCCTGGAAGGAGGTCAACAGCACCAGAGATGGACAGCGTCTGTCAGCCAACATAAACTGGAGTTACCGCTGCGCCAATTCATACCAGTATCCTGCATGATTCAACGAATAGGAGGTTGACCGGCCTGGAACTGTTTTCAGTTTTGAGCATTTGCGCATGCAAGTGTCGACAGTGAATAAGCGAATAGCCAGAGAACTCTCTTTCTGGACAACAATCATATATGCCAACTGGATAATCCTCCTTGAAAGCCTGCGTTCACTCACTGATCGATGCAATGCTCGGCTCGTATATAACTGTTGATCCACAACTGCTCCGTTGCTGCCTATGAAGCTCTCTCACTGGCAGCCTTCCACCGCTCTGCAGCAGCTTCAAGCAGCTTCCGCCGCTCTGCGCGCCAGCCTGAGTACTAGACTCTCTTGAACAGAAGTTCGCAGTCGTCAGGCTGCACAATCCTGACAGATCACGAGGGTTACACAAGGAAACGATGTTGAAGCTTCAGATGTTCTCATTCATGGAAGTGTGGGGTTGGCCAGAACGTGCCCAAGCAAGGTGCTGGAGAGCAGCCCGGTTCCCCAGCATGGGAGTTCGTGGGAAGTGCAAGGAGGAAGGGGGGGGTCAGCTGAAGGCCAAGACCTTCGGTGAAGCTACGAGTAAAGGCATCCTCGCGCAGTTCTGTTTCGAAGGCCGCCCGCTCAGAATCACAGCCTTTGGCAACTTGCGACTGGCCGGTAGCTACTTGGGTGAGAAACGAAATTGTTTCACATTCAGCAACGCTTAAGACCTTGTTTGGTTCATTGGTACTTTCGGAACCACAAGATGGTCAAAGATCATTGAAAGTTGCCACTTACGGTTCCCCAAACTAGAAACGTATACCGAAATGTAGCTGCGTTTAAACTTCCTTGGTGCTTGCGTACACACGGAATGCTCATCACACAATGAAAGTTGCCATTTACGGTCCCCAAACGCGTAACATGTAGTAAAATGTCAATGGCTTTGTTCATTTTAGGTGCTTTGAGTATGCCGAATCACTGAAACTTGCAATGCGGCGTTGGCCCAAGTATCCCAAAACTGAACTGAGCAGTAGAAAACTGCCGATCTTTCTGCTACTTCTAGGTACTTTGCCAAGATGGAAAGCATACTTTGACATGTGAAATTGGGCGCCACAAGTTCGCCTAACCCGAAAACTCAGCCAACATACCAGTGTGTTGGCTACTTATTGGCTGCTTGGGCAGTCTGATGGAGGCTGTTTATAAACTCGATTCTGCTGCTGAGAACTACTGCCACCACTAGTGACGGTACTATTACGACTACTACTCGATGCCACTCGTATTGCTGCTGCCTCAGGCCGGCCCCGAGCCCAGCCCCAAGCCCTGACCGCAAAACAGCCCGGCTACCCGCAGTCTACCTTGCTAGGCCCTACCCCTACCCTGGCATCAGACCCAGCCTAGGTCGCACGCGAGATCGTAGGCCAGGTCGAAGCTTTGATATGAAAAGCTTGGCATGGTCACAAAGAGCAGAGCAAGTCAAAAAGGCCACAAGCCGAAAAAACAAAAATTACAGAAAAGTGCTAAACGCAGGAACAAATGCCAAAAAGTGGAAACACAGAAACAATTCGGCTGTTTGACTTTTCGACTTTCCGCGATTAAACTCAGCTCTCCGCTCATCGAAACCAGTGCATGCTTGCGCTCAGTGCCTGGCTATGCCCCTCTTTTTGATCTTTGGGTTTGCTAGCCAAGCTGATGTAAGTTTTTATCGCTTACAAACAGCTCTTCAGCACTCGATTCCTGCATGTTTCGGCCACTTTTGTCTCATTTCTCCGTCTTGCCCGTCACCAATTATCAAGCTGGGTCTCTGCAGGTGCTTGCCAGTCTGCAGAATCAATGGCATGCGTGCATGGCAGCATACCTTACCAAAAAAGACTGCGCCCTGTGGAAAGCATCCGGCGCAGCAGAACTCGACCGATGCCCGGCGAGGACACTGACCGGGACACCTGGTCAAAAGCGGAAGATAATGCCTCAAGCGGCTTCACGCTGTGTCATCCGACCTCTGCGTCCTCGGCAGCTGAACAGCTGGGAACAGCAGATCGCAGCGTGGCCGCAACCACCTGGCAGAGAAAATAATTCTCTTACGAGACCACGCGCTTTTTGAAGTCAATGTCCCACTCGAATGCCGCAAATTGAAGGGTTTCTTCTGGGTAGCGAGGGAACTGCAGTGTAAAGGACCGGAGCTATCAAGACAGACTGTGACGGCTTGCCTCTGTGGACTCTCGTTCTTTCTCTCTTCTTCACTCTTCTATGCTCTTTGCTGTCAAACTCGTTGCAGGTCGCAAGGCATGCCTCGGCTAAGTTCTGCCGCGACACCTGCAAAGCAGTTGAAACAGCTCTCGAAGCAACATCAGTTGCCAGCCACTGCTGAAGATGTACTGTAACGCTACCGCTCCCACTGCACACAAGGCAAGCCCTCTTTCAACACAGATGTCTGGGAGTGCGACCACACTTTCGTGAGCTCGCGTGGGTCTGGTTGATAATCGAAAACTGTCGCATCGCTTTTTGCTGCAGAGTTTGCAGAAGGAAAAAGCACAGATACGAAGTCGTTTTCGCAGCTGTCCGTTTCACGGAAACTCTTGTTCGGGCTGATGGCACTTTCCGAATCCACCTCCGCAAGATGCTTCATCATTTTGACACATTCCCAACAGCTGATGACTGACATCCTCGTATTTCGGAGGCTAGACGCCATTCAGAAAGTCACCATATAAATACTCATTGAGTGCATCGCCCGGCGTTTTCCCAGTGATGCGTATGTACAGCTCTCCAGCAATGATGGGAAGCACCAATAACGCTATAAGAAAGTACGGTGGATCCTCTTCGACCTTGATAAGCTCGATGTCGAAGACCCAGGGGTACTGCCTTCTGCTACGCCATCAAGACGCGTTCGATGGAACTGAGGCATGGGGAAGGAACTGGGAACTAGAATGCCGGTCGCAGAACCCGTACAGGCTGACGAAGACAAGGCCCGCCCAGAACCTAACCAACCCCAAAATCCAAACTGCGCAAAGAGGCCCGCGTTCGCTGTAAACGCCCCAGTCCAGCTCAGTTGGCCTCCCATGGAGCACACCGACGCCGATTTTACGCAAACCGCAATTGCCCTAACCGCCCCAAACCCCCTCACGAGGCACGGCCAACCGAAAGCCAAACCCTAAACCTTAAACCCTCACCCTCAGTCTCACGGCCTGGATGCCGGAACCCAAACCCTGGTCTTCTCGCCCTCGCGCATCTCCAGCAGCGCGGCACGCCAGGCTGAGAGCACCTTCGGACCATTCGAAGTCCCACTTGTGTGGTAATAAGAACAATAAGAATAATGGCACCAATAATTAAACTCGGTATAAGAGTAGTAGTAGTAGTAGTAGTAGTAGTAGTAGTAGTAGTAGTAGTAGTAGTAGTAGTAGTAGTAGTAGTAGTAGTAGTAGTAGTCAGTAGCAGTAGCAGTAGCAGTAGCAGTAGCAGTAGCAGTAGCAGTAGCAGTAGCAGTAGCAGTAGCAGTAGCAGTAGCGTAGCAGTAGCAGTAGCATAGTAAGTAGTAGTAGTAGTAGTAGTACTAGTGGTAGTAGTAGTAGTAGTAGTAGTAGTAGTAGTAGTAGTAGTAGTAGTAGTAGTAGTAGTAGTAGTAGTAGGAAGAGGAGTAAGTAGCAGTAGCAGTAGTAGTAGTAGTTGTAGTAGTAGTAGTGGTAGTAGTAGTAGTAGTAGTAGCAGTAGTAGTAGCAAGAAGAAGAACAACAGTAATGATAACTGGCATCACATTTGCCAGGCTTACTCTTTTTATTAGTGCCATTACAACTGATATAACTATCATGACAATTGATAGTGCTAGTATTATGACTAAGCAGAAACATTATACGAAGCGCAAAAAGAACAGTGAGAATAATGACAACAGACGAAAAATGCAAGAAGAAGAACAAGGACAACAATAATACTAATAGCAATAACGAGAGGAACATAAAAAAATTAGAAGAAGCTCAAGAAGAAGTAGGTACCAGTATAAATGTACTGTGTATATATGTGTATGTACACATTATTTTTTGAAGCGCTTGTCACACCAGATCAAAACTGGTTAAGAGTCTCGGTGGAAATGCGCTGCTGAACAAGACACACCCTTACATAGGGCACAGGCCATGCTCTTAAGTTGCTGGCTGTGAACCCAAGACATGCGTAAGAACACAACGAACATGTCAAATGGATAACGAACATCTGGAATATTGCGGCTCGGCATGGTCTGCTTCTGTTTGATCGTCTAGGTTCGCGCCAGAACAGAATACGATTGGCGGGTATAGTTTGGCCCAAAACAAAAAACACTTTCGTTTCCTCCACATTCTTTAGAACTCAGCAGTGCTCTGGTGATCTCGGGTAACAGAAGGCAGGCAACCAATGTGCACGTGGCCCGGCGGCCTCTGATACTTCGAACATCTCTGGCTCTTTTGTCCGGAGGAACGAACTGTCAAACATCTGCCCATCTTGAACCTGGCGAAGCACAGAAAAAGATCAGAAACCTAGTTGTGGCACCGTGGCACCGTACTTCTCAAGGAAATGACTCTTTCGGCTCCGTCTGCAGCCAAGCTTCGGTCCAGCCCGTGTGACGTATATAGACCCTGGAACCTCTTGACGGAATGAGGCCACCCTTCTTCGGTGGTGACAGCTGCTCTGTTGCAATACCACTCGGTCTCCGGTTCCTCCTAACTTTGGGATTTGGGCCACGGTACTTGAAGACGTCCTTAGCCCAGGGAGCGCCGAGTAACATCAAGATGCTTTCTCTCGCTTATGACTTACGACTGTCCCCATCAAGGCCTGTCTACTCCCATGTACTCCGAACTGCTTACGACCCTGCTTCGTTTCGTGCAATTGCTCCAGTTGCCCTCGGGCTTGAGGTACTGCAACGCTGGGTGAATCTGACATGAAACTGCAGGTTCTCCAGGAAGCGGGCCCTGCCTGAGACCAAGATGCTACCGAGACTCTTCTGGCGGGGGGAAGCGTTTGTCCACTACCGGCCCCCTCTTCTCATCCAGGTCCAACATCGCCCGCTGAACGACGCGAGAAGTGCGTGTCTGCATAGGGATGAAAGACTGCGACGCAGCCCCATACTTGAGGAAGCGAGTCCAACATGTACAGCCTTGGAGCCATCAGTACTTCAGGACTTCCGCTTAACTTCCGAGACAAGAAACTTCAGCCCGCTGTGCGTCGCAACGTTTCACCGTGCATCAAAGTCGCCAAAGAAAACGACGACAAGCCCCGAGAGCTGCCGTCTCCGCATGGCACCCTTTGCCCTTGCTGGCTGATGCCAAACCTACATCGTGACCCTGAGCCAACAAGCTTCGAGCACTCCCTTCCAAGCGCTGCAACAGCTTTGGCAAGCTTGCTCCAAGCGGCAAGTAAATGGGATATTGTGGATAGTGGAGGGAGCTGCGGCACCATCATGAGTTAATCTTCTGCACGTAGCACCGATGTCAGCTAAACGTGGCCTCAGTCAGGCCCTGCAGGGAGCCGTCTCTGGCAAACACCAGTTCCTTCACACAACATGCGCTTCAGGAGCGCTCCAAGCCATGCCTGCCTGGACTTACAGACTGCACTGATTTTTCCAACGATGCCTGGACACCCAGCGCATCGAACTCTGACTTGGCCTGGCCCGAGAATTGGAGAAATGCTGTGACAGGTTAAGCCACGACAAGTGTATCTGAGAGACGACTGCAGCGACAGTCAGCAAATCGTGTCCTGACCTACGCCTATGTGCTGACTGCGTCCACGGGCTCTCTCCGAAATGGCCTTCGCAGACAAACCGTACAAGCCGGCCTCGGGGACGTCGGAGGCAACAAGGCACAGACTGGACGGCGACTCGAGATCAGCCCCCAGCTGCTGGCAGAGGCAGCGTCAGCTTGTCGGCCCCGTTGTCCTCCAACATAAGCAATTCCTCTCAACCCCAAACCCTGAAAAAGAACAGCAGCTGCTTGGCCTGTCCAGGACCGTCAAGTATTGGAAAGATCGGAAGCTGCGTGAACTCTATGTAGCTCTATCGTCGGATAACAGCATTCCATGAACTTCTGGCACAATCGCTCCAGGCTCGGGCTGACAGCCGACATCCTCAAACATACTTAAATCCCTCACAAAGAAAGACTGAAAAGCAGCAGCCGCCGAATGTCACGGATCCACCGCTTGGAGCATCATGCCTCAGAGTCTGAACGCTAGCCAGAAGCCAGCCGTCAGTACCAGCTGACGCTCCTCTTCCACGAAGCCATGCTGCAGCAGCAATGCGTCGCTGTCCTACCCACGGAGTCAGCTTAGCTAGAACCAAGAGGTTGCACTGCCTGAGGCATCTGGCGACTAGCGAGTTGGAGAGCGTGAGGGAAGGCAGTGACGACAACTTTCAAGTGCAGGCCATCTCCCAGCACTCTGGGCTTCAACGTCTCAATGTGGCTCCAAACGGCTACTGCGGTTACTGCTTCTGTCGTTTCCTTCCAACCCTATCACCTTCGTCTCCTTTTGGATTGCATGAAGCTTGGGCCAGTCTGTGCCCACATGTTTGCTGCCGGCAGTGTGTCGTCGACCAGTCTTGATTACTCGTTTCACATTGCCCGAACCTCGGACCGTCTTCGTCATCTTGCACACGTATGTCATCCGATGTCACCCGACATGCCCGCTGTCAACTGCTGCCGGAAGACGGCAATGTCGCTATTTCGGATATCATGTCTTAACGGGAAAGCGGAGGTCGGTTTGATCACGGTGGCCGGTCTGATCTGTCTTGAGGGCAGAGTATTAGAACTCGGCGTCCTTGTCGCCATAGCTGAAACAAATCTCTTCACCAGCGCTATACCTGCCAACAGTGACCCCACTTTGGCATGATCCAAGGATCCAAGCTTAACGAGACACACAGACCATCCTAAGCAGGACCCAAAGCTGCATCGACACGGGTCACGCTCGAAGAGCCCTGAGCTCCCACCGTCGGCTGGCGGGATCGAATTGCAAATCGGGAGGAGCCTCCCAAGGCAAGAGCAGAGGACGCCGGCTGCCAGAGCCCCAGAGCCCCTCTTCTGGGCCCCGACCCCGCTCTTGTGATTGATCTGGTCGATCATTGGCAACAGGGACAAGACCTGCAGCGCTCTAGAAAAAAAGGCTTCGGTTCTCAGCGTCGCTCCAGGCGCCAAGCCTTGGAGTCTTCGCTGAGCGCCTCGGATTCTGCGTGGATGCTCCTAGACCTCATTGCAGCCACCATTGCGACCAGGTGAGGCCAAGGCTTCAAGGCTTGAATTCGTAAAGTTTCACAAGATAACAGTCAGTCCCTGAACATTTTGCAGTCATACGTCGTACTGCTGTGCTCCAATGCCAATACACTGACCCACACAGTGCTTCAGTTTCTTGGGAATGCACCCATCGATGGAAACATTTTGCTACTGATTCCAGCACTGGGCGCAGACCCATTTGTCAGTTGGAAGCCCGTTCTGAAATGCTCTGAAGAGACCAATCAGGCTTCAGCGAAGCAGCTACAACTGCTCCAGAAGCCGCAACTCCAACCGCTCCAACACCAGCTGCTGCATCAAGGCCTGGGTCAGGGCAGTTCCTCGAATAATTTAGCATGAGCTGTTGCAACTTCCGCTTCGAGTCTTGCTCTGCAACGCAGAGAAGCGTATCAACCACTAACCGAGATACGAACTGGTCACACCAGTTGCAGCAGCTGCTCCTGCAGCCTAGGCTCGCGACTGCGTGTACAGCTCAGGGACAGCCGCGAGCAAGCAAGCGAGCACCGACAAATTATCGACATGCCGAGCTCCATGCCGTCAGAGCAAGTGCCCCGCATGCCAACGCAGCAGTGCGTGCACTCGAAACTTCGCCCTGCGACTCGAGGCTGGATCCGAAAACAGACCAGGAACACACGGTGAGCTACGCGAGCCGTGCGAATGTAAGCCGCAGCTCCTCGCCGGCGAAGGCTCTCGAAGCAGCGGCGTGGTGAGCACGTAGAAATAGCTCTTCCGGCACAGCCTCCGCAAGACCTTTGGCTTTGAGGTCTGCGCACGCACTGTCCAATGCTCTCCTTCGGGCTGCTGCTTTTGCAGCTAGTTGGTCAGGAAGAAACCTCAGATCCTCATCTTCCCACAGCCATGGGGCGTAGATGTTCTCCATGGGATAGAGCATGTCGATGTAGGGCCCAAACTTCTCCCGCTGGAAGACCAGCACCGCTGCCAGGCGAATGGAACTTCGAGGATTTCCTGACCACCACTCGGCCAAGGGCGCCAACTCCGAAGGTGCGTCTGAAGCCTCGGACATGTCGACAGATACTGCAGATGCTTCGGGAAGTTGCACCAGTACCTCACCCTTCTGAATGGCTGCCGTACTCTTCACACACCGACCTCCCTCTGGGTCTGGCAAAATCTCGAGGTTGTTCGAGGTCACGATACCTGATGCATCCATCCAGTCAATAAACCCCTGGACGGCATTCGCCTGATCCGCAAAGCGAGCTACGCAAGCCAGACGCTTTGCCCTGGCTTGCTGGTGGTGCCGTCTTTGGCTGCATCGGCTCAAGCCCACAGCTACACCACCTGCACTCACGCTGACTACGAAGTGCGACCAAAAGGCACTCCGAGGGATGTCCGCGTGCAAACTCGGGCAAGAAGAGCCCTTTCCCTTCCGGGAAAAAGTTGCTTTCGGCCACGTCGGCCTGCCACCCAATGGCCCCGGCCCGCGTTCCACCAGGTTCCCATGCACTAGCATGGCCCTTATCACAGCTCTGTGATGATATATGAAAGATAGATGCAAACTTCTAAGCCGCTTCTGCATGTTTCCTCATATTCGCTTGCAATCACAGGTCCTTCCCGAACATGTTGATCTGCTGCGGGATTCCGCTGAGCCAGATCCCAGAATGAGAACCAAGAGCAATACAGCTTGTCTTCCGCAGTGTGGCCAAAGTTGAGAATCTGCCAGCTGCACAACAGAGCCCAGCTTCAGCAGTGGTTATTTTTGAAATCGCGTTGCAGCTACATAGAGGGGCGGCTCTGTTCCAGAGAGCCCACCTACAAGCCTTTGCTTGCACAGCGCTTGCAACACGGTATTTGGCACTTGGCAACTAGCCTCGTGACTTGCGCAAGCCACGCTCGCGCAAGCACAATACCCTTTGTTGCAAACACCAGCAAGTGCTGCACATTATCCGACAGTATCTGACAACTCTATGCGTTGAGATGCAGAGCTTGGATTCAGCACGCGATCTCAAGCACCGGTTTCCAGCTACTTGGCACCAACGACTGCAGCAGTCTCGTTGCATCTTTGGCAGTCTGGTGCACCAAAAGCTATTGAACACAGAGGCAAACTCTTGCCGCGTTTCCGGGGCTGCGCCGGATCAGGGAATGTCTTGCTCTTCCATGGCCTTGCGCACTTGGACATCACTGATTTTCCCAGGGCCTCTGGACGAACACTGAAGCACTGCAGGCTCCTCAAGGAGAACTTGAGCTTTTCTGGTTTCCTGGCTCGACGGCAGTTGTCAGCATCGGAACATTGAACGGTTGAACGTGTCGGGCTTGCGTCCACACGAAGCTTGGATTTCTCAAGCCCGATGATGTCTGCATACATCTGACCAGTTCAAGCAGTTTGGGCATTGTTCAGAGACATGCTTGCCAGAACAAGCAGGTCATCTTGTGACAATACTGCTCTGTCCTGATCGCGATACTGCGACGTCGAGAACTTGTGGCCTCAGCAGTGAGGAATGCTCAAGCACTCGCATGAAGGTGCATCACACTATGAGCTCAAAGCCGTCTGGCAGCGTAAGTTCAAGCCGATGGCCGAAGACCTGGAATGGCTTGCCAATGTGCGCAAAGGCTTTACGCGTCACATTTTAGTGCTAGGAAAGGAAGAGTTGCACAAGAAAGGCTGCACATCTTCAACTTCAACATCTTCAACAACAAAGATTTGAGTCATGAGCAGGTTCTGCATCCGGGTCGTGGAATGCCGACAGAAACGGATGCCGCAGTGCCTGGAATGACTGTTTGCTTGCTTGGCCTTTGCATCACTCTAAGCCTCGAGTGAAGCACGATCGGGGTCCTACCACTCTCTGCACAAGTTGCTCCGTTGCTCCTGCCTCCACTGCAGTCAGCCGTTTCATCGGATTCCACTGGCCAGGGAGACGCTGCAACCGCCAATGATCATAGCTGCGAGTACTGACATCAGTTCCAAGTTGTGCTCCAGAACAAGTGCAAAAGGCCTAAAGACCTGAAGATGTCACTGGCCCGCTGTTCTCTTTAACAAGTGCTCCTGCTGCAACTGCAGGCCTGGAAGCAGAGCTCCAGCAGGTCGCAGAGAACTTGCGAACAGTCCGGGATGATCTCCGCGAAGGCGAGGGTCGGCCTGAGATCCGCGGCGCTTCTTCTTTTTCTGAGTTTGACCTCCTCCTTTCGCCTTCTGTGTGCGGAGGCCATGCGCCAGGGATCCGGCAGAGAAATGGGCAGCTGCTGAAGTGACATGTGCGCATATTGGGCCTAAGAGCTGACTACCCCAGGCCCCCATCACATTTGCAAGCACTCTGCGTGTGACAGATTGCCCGAGTTAGAGCACCAACTACCTCGGCAACGGACTTGCATGGCGTCAACGTCTGCCTGAGAGAGAGATTTGTCAGAAAGGATCAAGCTGCTTGCTTGGCAGAACCTGACGTTGGATTCCTGCCTCTAATGGAGTGCCCAGAAGCTCGACCTGCCCAGGCGAACATCGGGGCCCCGAGCTTTTGAAATGCCCACCCAAACCGAGAACCACACGATGTTGTGCATCATGTCGATTGTGGAGGAGCCCTTGAGGATCGGTTTCTGCAGGCGCAACGACGTAACGACCAGACATGGAAGGCTCCCACCTATCTTCACATCGATACGCCAAACACCACCCTCCAGAGCGGTCCCCCAGGTGCATCTCCGCAACGACGCATCCCCAAGCCCAGATGTCCACTGCCGTGAAGTAGCACCTCAGAGCCAGAGCCGCGCAGAGAAGACTTCGCCCCAAGGGCTCGCCCAAAGAAGGCCCCCGGCCTTGCACCGAGCAACTGCTCTGGGCTCCGGTACCTGCGACCAATACAACGTAATAACACAGTATGCTTAGTGAATACCGATACTGTGTTACAGTTGTTAGTATGATACAGGGGTCCCGTTCCCAGAGGCGGACCAGCGTGGACCGATGTAGTCCGTCAACCTGCAAGTCAACGCAACCGACCTCTTGGTGCTTTCGGTCTCCATGTTACCAGGCGCCGAGCATGACTCCATCCTGGCAAACTTGGGGGGCAACAAGGGCACGTCTTTGCGACAAATCTCAGACCTTCTGTGCACTAGTACCCCAACTGAAGCCAGGTCGGCTCCAGAGGTGGGGTCAATCGGCCTGGCATTGAAAACGAGTTCTGAAAGGTTAAAGGTGGGTTGAAGGGTGTGCTGGACGAGTACCTTACAATTTCCGGGCATGGATTGCGGAGTAGTCTTTCGGGGGCCGATCTTCGAGGAGTGAAGCCCTCTGCACTCTCGGATGTTCATCCATGCTGAGCAGGACACAGCCACGCTTTTTGCACATGTCTGCCACGGCTCGCAGCATTTTAACAGAACACAGGCTTATCAAACAAGTCTTCTGTGGCTGCCGTTCCTGTGCAAGGTGATTAGGCTTTGATGATGTACAGCGCACGTCCTTTGACACACGCATGGTCAGTGCTGTCGTAGATCGCAGCATTCAGGAACACTTTCCTTGGTGCCACGCATGTCATCAGCCAATGCTTTACCTAGATCATCTAATCATCGCAGAAATTCTGCAGTAAAGCTTCTTCTTGCGCTCAACGCGATCCACACACACCTCCACCAAGTACTCGGCATTGGATTTCAAAGGCCGCCGATAGCTCAAATCAAGATGGGCAGTGAAGATCTTTGCATCCTTGCCCAAGTCCTGCCGCATATACCGGAGTCCGGTATGAAACAGGACAAGCTGTCTCAAGCTGCGGAAGCCATGTCCTGTGCTTCCTTCTCTATCCTGAGTCACTTCTGCTTGGACGGAGCTGTGCATCTGCAGTGACGACAAGCTGCCCAGGCACCATGTCGCCAGACCTGTGAAATCGTCGATGACGGCCGCCGAGAACCCCCCATGAAGTAAGCCAGGATGGCCATTCAGCTCCTGGGCAGGGGCTGAATGACACAGCCCCAAGGTTTGACAACAGTCTCGCACGGCTAATATTGCCGGGTAGCATCACCAACTCTGATGACCTGAGAAACTTCCTCCCTCTATTCAACAAGCATATAAAGCTGCCCCTCCTTCCTCAACACTGCTCTTGAGCCCAAGTAGCGCCACATATTCTGGTCTTACCTTCTACTGCTTCTGGCGCATCTAGGGAGACTTCGCGATCAACATCACCACGCTGACAATGGAAGATGCGACAGTCCTTCCGCGAATGTCGGGAAGGCAGAAAATGGCAGCGTCGCTCCGGTCCTCTATCCGTCGGGGACCGGTGCATGTCTGCCAGATGAACTGCTTGTCGGATCCTGAAGATATGAAGCCGGCGTGTGAATTCTACCAAAGCTGCTTCTGTTCGATTGGACCCCAAAGCCAAGGATCTCCCCGCCAGCAGCATCTCTCGCTTCAGGTCCAGTAAGCCCGGGTCCTCCGGCTGCCAGTTGCCGGGGCATGCCAGGCGCAAGAAAGGCCAGCATCAGACAAGGGAACGCTCCTCACCAAGGTGCTTGCTCCACGCCGATTCCGAGTCGGCATGGGTCACCTGGCGAATGCTGCAGCGAAATTGTCAACCAATCTTGCACCCATTGCCTTCAGCGCTAGCCAGGGAGCACCAATGCTCGCCGCAATCACGAGGCCTTGGTGTCGCTCACTGAAACGAAGTGGAACTACGACAAGCTGGGATTTGTCAAAATTCGTCCAAGCATCCACCCGCAGGCAGGCCTGTCGCCGCCTCGAGCTGCAGGTCACGACAAAGCTTCATAAATCATAGTCTTGTGGTCTGGGCAAAGGACAGCAAGGCACCTGGGAAATCTTCCGCGCAGCTGCCTGAGTCGCATGTCGACGCGAGGTTTCGGCTGCTCGCCAGAACCTTAGCCACGAGGATGCCGTGCTACCCGAACCGCCATAAAACCCAGCAAGCAAACTGGCACTCTGATCTCTACGACTTCATTGAAAACCTGGGAGTTCGACCACATGGTCGTCTTCCAGGCGGCTACTAAGACGCTGCCAGCATCTCGCGGCTGGCTTGGGTCAAGACAGCTGCGGCTGAGATGTGCAAGTCACTGAGCAGGACAGCCGTCTGGGAAAACCGAACATGCCGGCCACACGAGGACCTGGCCAAGCCAAAATCTCCCACCAAAACCTGCGCAGGCAGCTGCAGTTTCATGGCACTAAGGGATTCTCTGGCTTGCTGGAACTGGCCTGGCAGTTTCGGTCCAGGAAGATGTTCCCGGGTTTCAGGTCACGGTGCATGACTCCCGCTGAGTGGATGTACTTCAGAGCTCGAAGCACTTGGTAAGAGATGAGGGACTTGTGCACGATGCCTAAACAGTTGCACCTGTCAAAGTAGGGAAAGTGATGATCAAGCTTAAAGATCACTCGCACACCATCCAAAGCAGCCGCGGCGCTTGATAGCTCTGCACAGGTCAGACTCCATCAAGTCCGTGACCTGACCACGAGTTCAATGAAGGCAAATGGCAGAAGACTCGGCAGTCCGAGACTCGGAGGCAGGCAATGTAGAGATGTTTGTCATCCGCAGAGACGAGCACATCATGCACCTCACCATGCCGTGCTACGTCCAGCCCTAGGACCTAGCCTCGGGGGGGGGACCGGTCCAAATCCGAAGTCTCAGTCTGGCGCATAGACAATGTTCGTGTGGCTGCCGAACTCCATGAGGTATGAGACCTCCATGTTCCACATGAGAGAATTTGAGCTTTGCCTGGCGGATTGTCGTACCAGTACATTCCCGCCTCTCTGTACGTCCGCTGGGCATCCGTGGAGTTGTTGAAGGCGTAAAGCACCTGTCCCGCACTCAAGCCATGCTGAGATACAAGCTGGGAACTGCGAAGGACTCTCAAAGCGCTCGTGCTGAACAGCAGTCGGCTTACCTTGAGCCCTCCATGTTCCACTGTTTCTTAGAGATCCTGCCTTTTTCATTGCGAACTTGTCGAACTTCGTGGGATCCTCTTCCCCCAAACGCACATCATGGAGAGACGCTGTGAAAAAGGGAGCGAGAGAGAGAGAGAGAGAGAGAGAGAGAGAGGAGAGAGAGCGAGAGAGCGAGAGAGCGAGAGAGCGAGAGAGCGAGAGAGCGAGAGAGCGAGAGAGCGAGAGAGCGAGAGAGCGAGAGGGCGAGAGGGCGAGAGAGCGAGAGAGCGAGAGAGCGAGAGAGCGAGAGAGCGAGAGAGCGAGAGAGTGCGAGAGAGTGCGAGAGAGTGAGAGAGAGTGAGAGAGAGTGAGAGAGAGTGAGAGAGAGAGAGAGAGAGAGCGAGAGAGCGAGAGCGAGGGAGGGAGGGAGAGAAAGAGAGAGAGAGAAAGCGAAGGGAAGTGGTCCCACTTCCCACTGCGGTCCCGGAGCATGACCTCAAACACGACGCCGTAGCACCTGAGACGACAGCTTCGCGGGCAGCCTCCGCACAGGTCCATGTAGAGCTGGGGCCGGAACCCCCGCCCGATGCGAGAAATGAGCTCGTATCGCCGAGCAACATCACGATCGATTCTCTCATACGGAGGTTTTCCTGTCTGCCAGCCGTGTGCAAACGAGGACATGAATCTTGCCATACATGTACTTCCTTATGCCACAGGAAGACTTGAAGAAGATGCAACTGAGCTCATGGCTTCTTGACATTCCATGAAGAGCCGCTGCAGGCTATCTACACAGGAGTGTCACACTGGCATGACCGGATGCGTAGCTTGCATGCTGACTGCGCATGCCGATCTACATGCAAGTTGTATGGCTGAAAGAATGCTAGAAGATGTGACTGAGATGGCTGGGTAGCCTTCAACTGCACTTGATGCTGAAAGGGCCTGAGTCTGAATCTGACAAGATCAAACGACTCCGTAGAATTCGCGAGCGGCTTCTAGGCAGCATGGCAGGATCGGCAGTAAAGATCTTGTGCAAATTGTGAACCCCTTTCTGTCGTCGCAGCTAAATGTCACCTGCATGGTCTAGGCCCAAACAGGCATGAATACCTCCTTCCAGCAGAATGCTGTTGTTGATCAGTGGTCGCAGCTCACCATCCGTTGGTAGTCCAGCCCGTTTCCATTGATTCAGCCCGCCAACAAGCCGACGCACGCGGTGGCTGCTGCCTAGAGATGGCTCGAGGCGACATGCCCGACGCAGCTCTTGAGCGACACGGACGCAACGGCTGATGTATCCCAGACTGATGTCGTCTGAACCACTATCGCTGTAGACAACGACTGTCTGTTCTGGAGCCTTGAGCAGACGTTGCATCACTGCGTCCGATGCAGATGCTACAGACATACCCTTCTGCATGATCACATGCCGAAGCATAGATGTTTGCTCGGAAAACGGCAGTGCCCCAGATATTCGGCTCCTGTCGAACTCTTCATTGGATCGCGCGTCAAGGAAAATCGCACCTCGCTGGTAGAGACGAAATGAGCTATCGACGAGAATCTTTGCATCCTCTATGTCTCGCTCATAGCGCTGTTTGTCGTCCTCCTCCTGCCTTCGATGCAGCTCCCGGCTCCTACTGTTCAGCACGAGGCTTTGGACATACTCCGCTGCCAGGCGATTGTTGGCCACGACCCTTTTTGCAAAGTCCCCGTCTTTAACCAATTCCTGAGATGCATGCATCAGGGCCTTGGCGTCGGTTCGGACGGCGGCAAGCACAATGTCTTCATCAGCTTGCAGGGCTTCGCCGGCATATCTCAATGCTGAACCTGCATTTCCAACAGCAGCCAGTACAATGGACCTGTTGCGTCTCAGCTCAGAACTGAAATATCGAAGAGCATGCCCATTGTTTCTGGCCATGGACAAAGCGAAGTCCGCATCTGCTCGCAGCTCTCGGGCAGCGTATGCAACTGCTGATATATCTCTTTCAGCAGCTTGGCAGACCATGTCGGCGTCCTTCCGAATGCACAACGGTGCATTGCACAAGTCGAAAGGGTTTTTCTTCAATCGTGCAAGCCAGTCCACTTGCACTCGCACCAGTGACAGCTGGCATGTAGCAGCTAGCCTGGAATCATCACTCAACTCGTGAAGACCGTTCAAACAGCATATGCGTTGCTCCAGAATCGGTATCCCATACTCTGTCTCCAGCGAGGCTTTGACCTCTTGCACACTGGTCTTGGATGGGAGGGTAATGTTGTATTCAGTACCGTCCAACCCAAGTATTTGATAGTCACATGATTGGCTCTCGTCGGGCTCGTGGTGCTCCTCGAGCAGGTCGAAGTCAAAGTCAAACATTGCTGCTATATTGCTACATTCTGTTCGCGTTCAGCGACTTGAACAATTCCACCAATGTGATTGCTACGATTTTTGACGGCCTTTGCAAGTTTCTTGCAATGATCTGCACCACACACAAGCAAAATGAATTCCGCAAGATACTCGGCCGAAGATGCTCAAGGAAAAGTCATGAGCCAGATTGCTTCGCCTAGATTCAACTGCGCTTTGACTGCCAAAAGTCAGGCATGGAGAATTCAGCTGCCTTCGCGTCTACAATGACCGGGCGACTTAACATCCAACTGCTGATTGACTGAAGCCAACAACCACAACCTGCTGAGGTGGGTGTTCAATTTAACATGGAATGGAGGAACCCGAAACAGTTCAAAAGTGTCGGAGGACTTAGGACTTAGGCAAAGGCTCGTAATCAATCACAAAAGACTGCGAGACTCTCATCGTCAGACCTCAAACTGATATTGATTTTTTAACTGAAAAGGTAGTAGCATCTTCACGAACGCCCACCGAAGTGGAAATCCTGAGTCCTGAGCAAATAACAACCGAAGAGAGCGCAATCGGAGCCTGACGGCGTCACAGATGATAAACCTGGAACTGGCCCCAAAACCTCTCGCACAACAACATGACAAGTGAAGAGGCATTGGCTGTCAAACCCTTACATCTACGGGAATGACGGCATGATGACCCCCTAGAAGAGCTTGAAACCGTTAATTGGTGTCAAACCCCAAAATCTACCTTCGGCAACATGGGCCACGCCCACCAAACCCCGGAAAGAAAAGGGCTGCAGGCGGTTCGGCCTAGTCAACCAAGCTCGTGGCAAACATGCGAACACCAAAGACCGCAAGGTAACCCAAAGAAGCACAGTGCGAACGGCGATGATCCTGTCGAAACCATGAGCAGCTTTGGGCACATGGAGGCACTCCGATACCCACGCAGGGTCCCAAAGCATCTAGGCTAGCTTACATTTGCATGATGCTCACGACCCGATGAACAAACCCGGATTCGCAAGAATTTGTTTCCCCAAATACCTGGAACATCTGCAAACGCGGATGCTCCATGCAAGCGCGGAGGCTCCAGCTGCCATGAACTACTGGCCTTTCCTTGCTGCAGCGCCGTTTTCTCGCAATTCGTGCTCTCGCGTGTGCCGTGCCCGGCTCCAGAAGACGTCACGACCTGGCATAGCGAAAGGTCGACGGTCCCCAGACCCTTTGCAGGACAGTGAGACTATTAATATCAATAGTATCACTAGGGGATACTGTCACTACCGTTTGGCTCAGGCCTGGGCCCGGTTTCATGACATGTCTCCGGGTTCCTGCGAGACTTTGCTACTGCGAGGCATCGTGATGTGCCACGAGCTGATTTTTGATTCTCCCGATGAGGCTTTGCCGAGCCATCCCGACTCTTCTGGTAATATGAATGTTTAGGTAGAGGCTGCTGAGCAATCTTGCAGAGGACGTGTGCACAGCATATGCACTGTGGATGCCAGGATGACTGAAGTAAACGCACGACATGTAAGCCGTAAGCTTACAGCTTATCAGCTTATCCATCCGACACTGACGATGGAGTGCCTCGATACTCATACTCCAAAAGCAACCTCTGGATCGAAGCACGAACGACAGGGTCTCGACCATTTGCGGCGGCTGGAACGCCTCGTCCACCCATCTTCACCCATCTTCACCGTGAGCACGCCTTCACAAGCAAGGTCCGTCTAAGCGCGGTCTGCCGCTTGCGTCAAGTCTATGCATCACTGTGGCATCAATTTCAGGAGACTCTGAGGCCTAAAACTTTCAACTCAGGCTCTCAACAAACGCTGCTCAAGTAGCGGTTGCCTCAAATCGAATGTCTGAACCCATGCAGTGGCTGTGGAAGACGCTTGTTCAGGAGTCTATTGACTTCCTGGCGGCTGGCGAGAATTGCCCAAACAAAGTGTGCTTCTTGGCACACCAGGCAATCTTTGACCCGAGGGAACACTTTGGGACTCACACAGAGCCGTATGTGCTCCAGTATGAGCTGTCATTGTGGCTTCCAACACCCAGCGTTTTGGACCTGTGACGACCTGCAGCTTTACCATCTCTCCTGCTCGAACAGTCTCGGCGATACCATGAATTGTGTGTCGGATTGTCCGTGCTTTGCCCCACGACAAGCTGCACTCGACCTCCGAAGGCTGCCTTGCACACAGCAGGGCAAAGCTCCTCGACAGAATGACACCTACCGTTGCGAGTACGGTGCCGGCCCCCTGACCCTTGGGGGAAGAAGAACCCCCGGCTCTTGAGTGAGTGAGAGTGAGAGTGAGAGTGAGAGTGAGAGTGAGAGTGAGAGTGAGAGTGAGAGTGAGAGTGAGAGTGAGAGTGAGAGTGAGAGTGAGAGTGAGAGTGAGAGTGAGAGTGAGAGTGAGAGTGAGAGTGAGAGTGAGAGTGAGAGTGAGAGTGAGAGTGAGAGTGAGAGTGAGAGTGGGAGTGGGAGTGGGAAGTGAGAAGTGAGAGTGAGAGTGAGAGTGAGAGTGAGAGTGAGTGAGTGAGGAGTGAGAGTGAGGAGTGAGAGTGAGGAGTGAGAGTGAGAGTGAGAGTGAGAGTGAGAGTGAGAGTGAGAGTGCAAGCGCGGCACTTCCAGCCGCCAAGTGTGCTCGCCCGAACACAGGCTCTCCGAGGCCCACCTTGGTGAGGCGGCCGTCCTCGGACTCCGTGTCGGAGTCGGAGGCCTCCTTGCAAGATCGCACCGAACATGCACTGGCATGAGCACGAAGTGCACTTGTTGTCCTCGGCGTCGCTGCCCTGCAGGAAGTTTTGGATGTGGTCCACGGCCTGCTTTATTTTGCGGTTATACCGCACAAGCAGGGTCTGATCCAACCTCAGCACCGCAAGGCCTCCTTGAGGAACTTTGTGCGCTCGAAGAGCTGCTCCTGGAAAGAGCAGCTGGGGAGCGGGGAGCGAGAGAAACTGGAAAGAGAGAAGAGAGAGAGAGAGAGAGAGAGAGAGAGAGAGAGAGAGAGAGAGAGAGAGAGAGAGAGAGAGAGAGAGAGAGAGAGAGAGAGAGAGAGAGCGAGAGAGAGCGAGAGAGAGCGAGAG